ATAATAATAATAATAATAATAATACTGACCTTGTAAGGGCTCTTATACCCATCCCCCCCTGTTCTCCAGTCCAATTATCTGTCTGTGTACGGTTTAAATCTGATAAACTATCAACTAAATCCTTAAAAAAATTAGTTTTTTAGGCATTTTTGAAAATACTGAATAAAACATTCATAAATGTACCCTTAAAAACCTTACTAAGTATTTTGTACAATGGAACTTGTTTCTGAAAATTAACGATTTCAGCCAACGGCAATTTTTTTTATTTAACTCAGGCATTTCAGATGAAACAATTGAAGAATTAAAATGATTTTTAGGCTAAAAAATCGAAAATTTCACTGCATTATAGTCCATCAGTTTTAGTAGGTTTTTTTTTTATGAACCTTTGAAGGAATTATGTAAATAATTTGTACTTAAATGTTACTATCAGTCCCTTTAAGAATAAATACTTACCTTAATATCTTCTTTATCAATCCCAGCCATATGCAGAAAATTCAGGAACCAAGATGTAGAAGCAACCTATAAAAACTCTCACGCTTGCGTTTAATTTAATTTTTTTAAAGGGAGTGACTGACTAGGAAGGGTGGTTGAACTGGGAGTGTAGTATTATCAAACAAAATTATTAGGATTACTCTCTTAAACTATCTTTATATGTCGTCTTTGCAATGAGATTCAAGGAAATCTTAGGCCAACGTTAGGGGTAAGAATCAAATATTACAGAAACAGATAACTGAAAAAGATTACCCAGTTTCTATGACAAGAGTTAATTTTTATTTATTTTTATTTTTATTTTATTTTATTTTATTTATTTTTTATTTTTATTTATAGAACAATAGTTGTTACGTTTTTCGTTTATGTTCTTGAATAATTTTCAAAAATTGAATCTTTTCAGCAAACCCCAATAAAGAGCCAGTTTTCGGTCTTTTTTAGCAATAATAGAACGTAAAATCGTTTAATAGTTATCAAATGAATGCTGATATTTTATTTTATAATACTGCACTTGCAGTTCATCAACATCATCCCTTTAAAGAATTGTTTCACCTTTGCTACAGGGCAGTAGATTATTCTATGAATTATATCCCAGACATCATTATGCTTCATGTGCACAAATAGATCCTCTTCAGGCCACCTAGACAATACTACAGTACAGTACATTGCAATGAAGTATAGTACAACAGTAAAGTACAGTGCAGTGCAGTACAACAAGTCAATCAATGATTCTACAAAAAATGAGTTCTGTTTGAAAACATGTAAGATTCTATTCTTTAAAAACTGTGATTTATATATCTTTGTTCTAAATTTAGATATTCTGAATTTATATTCAGATATTCTATATGCAAGATGACCTTTATATATCCTTATTCTCAGAGCATACCTGGTAACAATCCTACTCCTGTTCTATATGCAAGATGACCTTTATATATCCTTATTCTCAGAGCATACCTGGTAACAATCCTACTCCTGTTCTATATACAAGAATACCTTATATATCCCGCATAGATTAATTAATATAACAGATAGTACACTAGATGTCGTCTTTTCAAGATTTGGAGGATACTCGTCACAATAACCGAAGAATTACCAGAGAGAGAAAACCTGCTTCTATGCCAACTGTGCGAAACTCCTCTGGGCTTCTGCCTCAGGGTTATTGTGAACGAGTTTCATCCAAATCTTGAAAAGACGACATCTAGTGTCCTAACTGCTATTTTAATTAATCCCTACTAATGTTCTATATACAAGAATACCTTAATATATCCCTGTTCTCAGAGCACACCTTCTGAACCACCCTGCTCCTGTTCTTTAGTTCAACCTGGAACACCTTCCTATAATTATTAAAAAATCTTTAATGCACCCATTTGGTCATGGTTGTTCTTTTTTGTATATAGAGATTGTATAGAATAAATTTGACAGTAAAATTTTAACAAAAAGATGATGATTTTTTTAAATGGCTGATCGTGTGACCAAAAAGAAGGAAAACTTCAGGAGCACGTAATTAAAGATTCTAAACTGTATATTCTGATGCTTTAAGTTAGTCACCATATTCATATGAATCATTAAAAGACAAACAGGATTAAGGATCATTAAAAGAATTTCCTGAACGCAAAATCAAACTGATCTTCACCCTCCTCTCCATCCTCCTTATCTTCATTCTCAAACCCCTTATTAAAGTCAGCATTCTCATTGAACAGTCCAGAGCTGGTTTCATTTACAACTTTATTAAACTCAGACTCGCGGATCTGCCTGAAATAAAATGTATTTAGGAGGTAAAGAAAAGAATTACCTTAACAATTATTTTTGAAGGTCTATCACAAAACACGACTTTTATCGGTTTTATCCTATTAATAGTATTAATACCATGAGGCTAGTACCAATAAAACGCACAAAAGTGAAAATTATTAGACTGTATGAAGATATTAAGAATGATTTTTTCATACTATATATGCCAACATTGCTTGGCTCTTAAAGAAAACATTATTGAAATACGGTTATAAACAGAAAGATCCGGAGTTAATTGACAGTTAATCATACGACTTTACATGCATATATTAAACGCACAGGCAGACCACATTTTGGAATTGGCAGGACTTGGGATATTTTGTAATTAACGTTTCATTAATCATATTTAAAAATTAGATTGTAGTTGATTTGTACTGCTTGACTACTATATTTAGAATAGTAGGATTATATACCTGTAGATGGCTAGTCTTGCTTTACTACTATATTTCGGATATGTAGGAATATACCTGTAGTTGATTAATTAGTACTGCTTTAATACTATATGTAGGATAGTAGGAGTATACCTGTAGTTGATTAGTACTGCTTTACTACTATATTTAGGATATGTTGGAGTATACCTGTAGTTGATTAGTACTGCTTTAATACTATATGTAGGATAGTAGGAGTATACCTGTAGTTGATTAGTACTGCTTTACTACTATATGTAGGATTTGTAGGCGTATACTGTAGTTGATTAGTACTGCTTTACTACTATATTTAGGATATGTTGGAGTATACCTGTAGTTGAATAGTACTGCTTTATTACTATATTTAGGATATATAGGAGTATACCTGTAGTTGATTAGTACTGCTTTACTACTATATTTAGGATAGTAGAAGTATACCTGTAGTTGATTAGTACTGCTTTACTACTAAATTTTGAATAGTAGGATTATATACCTGTAGATGGCTAGTCTTGCTTTACTACTATATTTCGGATATGTAGGAATATACCTGTAGTTGATTAATTAGTACTGCTTTAATACTATATGTAGGATAGTAGGAGTATACCTGTAGTTGATTAATTAGTACTGCTTTAATACTATATGTAGGATAGTAGGAGTATACCTGTAGTTGATTAGTACTGCTTTAATACTATATGTAGGATAGTAGGAGTATACCTGTAGTTGATTAGTACTGCTTTACTACTATATTTAGGATAGTAGAAGTATACCTGTAGTTGATTAGTACTGCTTTACTACTAAATTTTGAATAGTAGTATACCTGTAGTTGATTAGTACTGCTTTACTACTATATCTAGGATAGTAGGAGTATACCTGTAGTTGATTAGTACTGCTTTACTACTATATTTAGGATAGTAGGATTGAAGATGCATCTCAAGGTTTATAAACACTAAAGGAAGAGATGCAATCAGACAAAACATCTCAAAAATCTGAGCAAAGCAACTTTTTTCATTCATAATAAACTATTGATGCTTTTCTACAAGAAGGGTGAGAGGAGAAAATGACACCTTTGTGGTCACGGTATGAGGGGTATCCTGTATATGGGTAGAACCGGATGGATTAAAACACGTAACGTGCGATTAATACTATTACGTATTTCTCTCCAATAATCGGAGAATCGGATTTACTTTATCTAAAGGGACCGTTTTAAAATGACCCATATTAGGGGTTTTACTCGAAATTCCGTTGCGTAAAATTGCGCGGAATTTTTCGGAATTGCGTGGAATTACGCTGTACAATTAAAGGGCTCCCAATTGCGTGCAAGTAAAATCTCCACTTGCGTTGGAAACCCTACCATTCATGCAAAGAGGAGAACGCACTATTCACATCGGTAGAAAGAGTATTTAAAACAACTTGAAAAACGAATTATCAACAATCAAAAGGGTATCAGTCAAAGGTAGAAAGGGTACTGTTGTTAATCGAACACGCCACTTACTGGCAGCTGTAGTCAATTTGAACATCCGAGCCGGGTCAACCTTTCCGGTTCCAGTTTGTACTATACAGCATGGACATTGGGTTAATACAGCAGACAATCAAGAGGACTTATAGCCGGTGCAACAAGGTTGACGAGGTCAGACTTTATGCTTCATATAAGTTGAATTTACTTTTACTAAAGGGGCAGAGGTGCGTGCACTACACAGATGGAGCGTCACTAGAAATTACGTTTACAGTTCCTTTAAGTGGTTCAAGGCCGAAGCTGTTTTTTGTTTCGATTCCATTTTTTGAAATGGTGCTGACGGTTTACATCATCAACTACATGGTCGGATTAGATGTATAATGTAAACATTGATAGAGAAATCTGTCTAGGCCTTTGTTTTTTGATTTCTTCGACCCTAAACCCCTTTCATAAAATATTTCGAATTTTTTACGTATCTTCAAAATGAATATATGACACATTGATAACATCTTTTTCTTTAATTAAAATAATGATTTTAAAACCAACGTAAAAAAAAATTTCTTTCTGAATAGAAACGGAAATCAGGTTTTCATCAGCATTATTCACAAATACAGCAATTGAGTATTGTCACTAAAATTTTCTCGTCCCTTTATCTTTGTAACCTAATGTCGTATTTACCTTACTTTGAATTCTATTAGATCAGAGATCAAATAATCTAAGTTTGAATTATCTATGGTTTACAACATCAGGTTGCAAAGATATATGGATATAAAAATTTTAAGTTTGACAAAAACTCAATTACTTTTCTCAAATATGTCATAGAGACAATTATGCCATTTGAATTGAATATATTATATGCAAGTAAACCAAAGTTTTTCAAAACAACCGATGTCAATCGTCTACATTTTCTTATATTTACATGAATAAAAAATTTCTTCATAAGTTTATTTAAAGAGATTGGTCACTTAATTGAAAGTTATATGTACTTCAGTGCCAATAATTATAAGGAGTTTTTTGCAGGAAAAAAGAATGAAATATATTTAAGAGAGGAGTAGGGCCGGGGGGGGGGGGCTTGTTATATACTTAATAAATACCTTAAGAATAAAAGCTTTAGAAGGCGATATATAAACATTTAGTGGATTAATCTAATATTAATATCTTGGAAATATTATTTGTTGTAACAATGAATTCTCTTCACAAAGTTTAAGGAATTGAGTCTTTGATAAAAAATCTGATTTTCTAATCCTTTATCTTTGTAGCATAATATTGCAAACCTTAGATAGTTCAGTATAAATTCTGTTAGATAAAATAATCTAAATTTGACATATCAAGTTGCAAAGATACAGCGAGGAGCAAATTTGAGTTTGTGGCAAAGACTTAACTCCTTTCCCAATCATAACTGCGAATTTTGACACAACGCAAAATGTTTAAATAAACTTTTGATGAAAACGATGGTATTATCAAACCATTATAAAAAGAGAAAGAAATTGCTCCCTGCTTATTTGTGTGGAACAGTCGCACCCAATTCATCTTGTTTCTAGGAACAAAAATATATGAAAAAACATCTTTTTTTGGTAAATTTGCACTAAAAAACATCCAGGTTCAAGATATTCGGAGACAGAATTAATCGATGAAATTATGTAAAATTGTTTATTTCCCAATAAAAGTGAATTTTCTTTATGACTTGACTTTCCATTTTCATTTATCTTTTTATTTTAAAAGTGAAAAATTATGATTTCTCTTCAATTATTAATTAATAGAAATATTTGACTCTAGGTCTAAAGATGAACTGGAAGAAGCAACATCCACTTAATCCCGGGTCAAACAACCTAAACAGTTAATCAGACAATTCTCAGATATAGGTGTACACAAATACAACAGGTTATTAGACAATTCTCTTACATGGGTGTACACAAATACAACAGGTTATCAGACAATTCTCAGACATGGGTGAAAAATACAACAGTTAATCAGACAATTCTTAGATATTGGTATTCACAACTGCAATAGTTTATCTCACAGTTCTTAGATATAAATGTACACAAACTATGTACAACAGTTTATGAGACAATTCTTAAATATAGGTGTACACAACTATAACATTTTGTCAGACAAGTCTTATATATAGATGTGCACAATTACAACAGTTGACCAGATAATTCTTAGATATAGGTGTGCACTACTACAACAGTTTATCAGACAATTATTAGATATAGGTGTACACTACTACAAAAAATTTTCAGACAATTCTTAGATATAGGTGTATACTACTACACCAATTAATCAGACAATTCATTGAATTAGGTAAGCACATCTACTTCAGTTGATAAGAATTATTAGACATTATAGTTGTACACTACTACAACAATGATTAGACAAGTCTTATACATAAGTGAGCGCACTTACGTAATTGTTTCATAATTGGTTCTGACGTAATTGTTTCATATTTGGTTCTGAATCTTATGTTATGGAAACCTTCTGTTAAATGCTTTTTGCTATAATACCTACTCAACATTCAATTATAGCATACTTTCCAACTTGTTCGGCCGATACTTTTTAATCATATTGAATATCTCTGAATGTTTAAAACTTACAAACTATTCTTAAAACTATTGTATGTTGTTTTGTATTATCCTCTGTTATGTCTTGTTTAACACCAAGAGATAACTTCTACTAAATCATATTCTT